AGAGAGTAGTAGGAGGAAGAGGACCTCTGGGGGAGTGTCCAGTCGTATACCTGGACACGCTGGAGTTCCTGCCGGGGATCTTTATCTTTAACAAGCCAATGGACTGAAAAGTTTTCTCTGGCAAATGGCCACTTCACAAAATTCAGACAAAACTTCGTAAACTGGGTACCTTCCTTCATGAGCTGGTTCAGCTACCATGGAAGAGCTGAGAGCCTGCCTTAGTTACTGGACTTTTTAGGACTCAAGTATGTGCTGGCACACTAATGAGGGTATTTTTGGATGACAATTTAAAAAATTTCAAAACAATTATTGTATTCATCTTCTTGCTTCAGCAATACTTTCTCAGGGACACATGCACCAAAGAGCTAATCGAAAGTTTTTAAAAACTGTGCGGCATTGTGGTAGACATTTCCAGGTAGACAAGCTCAAGAACATTCTTTAGCTCATTTTCTCCCTCTGCAACAAAAGGCCCTATGTTCTAAACTTGAACGCTACACAAGAATCTGGACAGTGTGGAGTGATGAATGCTTCCCTTGTTTAGTGCAACCAAAAAGGAGGACAAAGGCCAAAAGTAAAAACGCAGGAGCAAGTTCTAAGTAAATTAAAGGCATATGAAATATTTAACCATCGAGGCAAAGACAAGACTGCCCAATGTGGCTAGTAAAAGGATAATGATGGTCTGTGAAGGAGACAGCTTTCAATCTGATGTCTCACTGGTTTGCTGAAGATGGAGAATGTTGCCAAAATCATGACTCAGACTTTCCCGAGCACAGAGCAGAGCTGGTGTTGCTTATCACGTTCCTGGTATTCCCACTATGATGGAGACACTATGGGCTCTACTAGGTACTCAAACATGAGCAGTTAAAGACAGGTGAGGCAAGACCATCAGTAAAAAGAAACTATTAAAACAGGCTAGGCGAAGGTATGTGTGTTCTGACAGCATCTTCAAGTTCAGGAAAACAGCAGCATAGATTTCATGATTTTCCAACCCATCTCAATCACGTTATAAAGGTGTCTTAGGTTTCTATTGCTATGATAAATACCGTGAGCAAAACCATCTTAGGGAAGAAAGGGTTTGTTTCAATTTATAGGTTATAATCTATCATGAAGGGAATTCGGGGCGGGGACTCAGGCAGGAACTGAAGTAGAGGCCATTCTTACTGGCCTGCTCTCAGGCTCAAGTTCAGCTTCCTTTCTAAAGTCCCCTGGAACTACCTTCCCAGGGTGGCGCTGCCCACAATGGGCTAGGCCTTCTTTTCCACATCTATCACAAATTAAAAAAAAACCAAACGAACAAACAAACAAACAAACAACAACAAGGCCAATCAGATGGAGGCATTTTCTCGGCTGAGGTCCCCTCTTCCCAATGACTTTAGCCTCTGTCAACTGGACAAAAATCAACGAGCACAACGAGGAATACTTTCTGCAAATATGTCTGTACTGTGTCTTTGAACCTTGGGAGCCGCCTTTGTATTTGTAGATACTATGTTGCAAACTCAACAAATCTCAGATAAATTTCAATCTAAATGTATAGAGCTTCTCAGAGGAAAGTAAAACATGATCTGTGATACTCATAGCCCATGCTTTGGAAAACTGATCTTTATAACTGCTCTGGCTTCGACACTCAATTAATCTTTCCTTGGAGACCCCACTGCTTCCCTCGCTCGCTGGGCACTGTCTCCTGTCATGCTTGCTGTCTCTGCTCTTCATGACTTATGCTGCTATGTGAAACTCACAGGGTTGGACCAGATGACTCAAATCTACACAGTCTGGGGGGGGGGATGCTGGAGAGAAGCCAGAGTGGTTAAGAACACTGGCTGCTCTTGCAGAGGACCTGGCTTCAGGTTCAGCACCTACACGGTGGCTCACAACCATCTGTAAGCCCAGTTCCAGGGGACTCGGCACCCTCTTCTGATCTCTGCTGGCACCAGGCACACACGTGGTGGTTTTGCGCATGCAGGCAAAATACTTGTAGACGTAAAACAAATCCAAAGTAATTTTACAAATTCTAGGCAAACTGTGAAATTTGAGGGTTCTTTGAAAATCTCCACTGAGGATCAAGACAAGATGTACACACTCAGGTCACCACCATCCTAACACCAAGGTTTTCTTAGGGGCTGTGTGCTCTTAGCAGGTGCTAGCACCAGAGGAATCAGAAGCAATGTGAGTTTTGTGGTTTAAATTCAGCCCGAGTCCCACTAGCTCCTGGCAGAAGCCAGGGGTCGGAATGGCCACAGAGCAGGGACGTGAGATACAAACGGGAACAAACAAATCACAACTAATCCATACTCAGTTTGGTGGTTTTTTTCCCTCCCAGTTGCTATTAGTAGCCTTGACTGTTAACATCTCATCATTCTTTGGTCTGTTTCCATAAATACTGTAAGATTCAAAAAAAAATTTAAAGATCTTTTGGTCAGTTTCACAAATTTTGAAATGTCTTATTCATTAGAATCAAAGGAAACGGTAACTGACAAGGAGGGCCAACTACTTATCTTCAACAGGTGTGCCAGTAACACCTGCTTGGTCTGACGCCACTTCAGGGGTTTGGGTGTCACTGATGTAGCGGCTGATACGGCACTCATTTTAAACACTTCAAGTGTGTATGCATGTGAGAGGGCACGTACAGACTATGACATTAGTGTCCTATGGGAGTCAGATCTCCTACCATGTGAGTTCTGGGAATTGAACTCAGGCCATTAGGCTTGGCAGCCATCCCGCCGGCTCACGATTTCTTTGCCGTGGCACTGGTTTGTGTGCTTCAGACTCCCTGTGCAGCAGAGGACGACCGAAACAGGATCTTCCTCGCCTCCACCTCCCAAGAGCTGGGGTTACAGGTGTGCTCTGGGTTTGTATGCCGATGGGGAAAAATCCAATACGCTGAGTTACACCTCTACCCTGCCTTTAGCCCAGGCCAACCTCAAACTCATGGCAACCACTCTTCCTTAGCTTTCCGTGTGTTAGGATTACAGAGGGGCACTACCACACCCTGTTTGGCGGTGGTGTTAAATGCTTTATGGATAAGGGTGGTTTTGTCAATGAGGACACAGCACAGAGAAAGAGACTGATGAGGGTTTCTGGGTCTGAGGTCTTTGAAGCAAGCATAAAAGCTAACCTTTTCTAAATTAAAAAAAAAACTTTATTTTTACTTTATGTGCACTGGCATTTGCCTGCATGTCTGTGTGATGTTGCTGGAGCCCCTGTAACTGGAGTTACAGACGGCTGTGAGCTGCCATGTGCATGCTCCGAGTTGGACCTAAGTTCTCCGGGGAGCAGCCAGTGCTCTTACCCGCTGAGCCATCTCTTCAGCCCGAAAGCTAACTTCTGATAGAGAGTAAAGTCAAGATTCTCAAGGCTTGGAAAGCCAGCATTGTTTTGTAATTATAGTCTAAAATGCAGTTAATATTGGATTATAAGAAAAGTGCAATTACTGCTAAAAATAAAGTTATGACTAAAAAGCCTTAGGAAGGCCAATTTTAAAGGAAAAATAGGATTTAACTCCAAATAGTCTCCTTATCCAACCTAACTGAGTAAAAGTTGGTGTGATCAATACTCAAGAGACTCAGCATGAACACAGGGTAGAGAATAGAATTTTAATTAGTATCAAAATCAGGACTTTTAGGGGTCAGTTTAGTACTTGCTGGAGTAAAACTGTGAACTGTTACTTGATAATTGACTTAGCTTCTAAATCAAATCAGAATTACACATATTTTGTATATTACTTTAGTATATACACCAATATATCCCATGATTACATGCAGACATGGAGAGACAAGAATTATAGAACCAAAATCGGCATCGGTATTGATGAAATTAAAACCGGAAACAGCTGTCCAGAGATGCAGAACATCCACTTTTCACTGAGAGCGGTTTGAACCCTGTTCTCTCCAGTTGACATAAACTCCAGCAGTGAATCCAGCTGTCTGTGATGTGAGGAGAAGCAAGCAAACTTTTCCTTTCAGCTGACACTCAATGCACGCTCACCCACCTTTAACAACAGTCAGAAGATATGGGTTTAATTTTCCTGAGAATTAAATGAGACCTGCTAAATAAATAGGCAAAGAAAATGACCTGAGTTCATAGCAATCTCCAAACTCAAAAGACGATGCCTCAGATCTCCTAACAGTCATCAAAAGTCTCTACAGCAAGGGTTTCTGGGAGCTACGAACTTGGAGACATGGCCCTGCCATCCTTAAACCCTAGAAATAGCGCTGCATACAGAGCAAATTCAATGGTAGCAATGAGCCGACAGCGCTGAGGGTGAGGAGTAACAGCCACAGAAAGTCACGGGCTCTGCCACCCTGCAGAGGAAAGAGCAGGGCAGACGTGGGCTGACTGGCTCTGCTCCCCGCAGCTACAAATCCCTTCCTTACACAGGAGGAAGACAGCACCTTGTGTGGAGCCCAGGGAGAGCCACCCAGAGGCAAGTGTAGGCCATAGCAAGAATAGCTACTGCCACTTAAGTGAGTCCAGAATATATCTGTAGGTGACACTGGGCTTCAGCCGTTCTCCAGCTCACTCATATCTGCAGACTACTCAGGGTCACGCGTGAGCGAAGTCATTAAGTAGCACAGAAAAGGAGACGGTCTGCCTTTCATCCAAACTCTCTCAATTTGTTGTGCAACCTAATACAAGGCACTTCAAATACTGGTGCCTCAGTATGTAAACATGTGACATGGTAACATGTGTTACTTACCTCAGGGAGTGTCCACACAGCACAGAATGCATACCAGATGAAAAGCACTGTGGAAACCTGTTGCTTCCTGTGCCCAAGTCTCCATGTTTTCTTTAGAGTGTTAAATATTAAAGGATGGTGGCAGTACATCCCTTCACATGTGTTAGCTGTTTGGCACACAGGTTTTTATATATTTCAGTCATCATATGCTCTAGTCCAAAGGTGTTTTCTAACAGACTCAATGCAGTATGCCAATGTGGAGTCCCTGTGTTGAAACTCTCAGCTTTCTCTGAGGTACATGTGACATCATAAAAAAAAATTGAACTAGTACTGTGTAAAACCATGTTTTTAATGAAAAATAAAACAAAACAAAACAAAAACAAACAAAAGCCCCCCCCAAACCTGGAAGTACGCCACAGCATCATCTGGTCACCTAAAGGTACAAAGGCGGACTGAGAAGGGCCTCAACACGATACAAAATAAATGTGGCTCAAAAGAAACATTGAAAAGGTAATGTTTCATATGCTGAAATAACTAGAGGTAATAAATTATAAGTACAGTAGTTCAAATATTGCTTTTTAGCATTAGTTATTTTTTAAAAAACAAGTTAAATTTAGAACATTTTAAATTTGTTATATTCTTCTTTCAAAGTAACTGTGGACATGGAAGCCTTCACAAAGTCAAAATGCCACCTTGATGCCACCCTGTAGTCTTCACACAGAATGTACTCAACTCTGACCACCTTAGAGTCACAGCATCTTTAGGTCGATACATTGTATTAGACTCCTTCTGGAGAGCTAGACTGCAATGGCTGCTTTCCCGCTCACCGGAGCCCCCCGCCCCCCCACGCCTGCTGATTCTTTGCAGGGGCTTTGCTAGACTCACAATCAAAATTACAGAAACAGTAAATAATTTCTTTAGAACTAAAAATGTGGTTTTGTTCTCTTTTGAAAATAAAGTGCTTTTAAATTAAAGTATTTCTTGCCCTAAAAATAAACTGGAACCTTAAACTCTCCATATCTTGACACAGTTTAACAGAAAAAAAAAGTCTTGGGCCATTCATATCCTTCAAGAGTTCAGATTGGATCTAGGCTGGGCTTTGTGTCGCTACCATGCTCGTGCTTGTACATGAATGTTAAAAGAAAAAGAGCAACATCCAAGGATGACCAGTAGGCAGTGTGGGACGTGACGGCTGACCAATAGCGGCTCTCCACAAGGCCTTCTCGGAGTTCAAAGTCAATTCTGTGCTCCAGTTCCACTGAAAAGACAAGAGTTAGATAAGATTATGACGTGTCTGAGGAAGGCTGGAGACGGCTGGTGGAAATGATTTCTAAAATGTCACCCTCTTTACTCTAAATTATGAGGCAGTAAAAAGTCAAAGCGGTCAGGGTTCTACTGGGGGCTCTGCTCCACTGTTCAAGTCAGCAAAGAACAGCGAGGAAACAACAAACACACGCTTGCTATCATGGCACGTTTCTGGAGCTAGAGGACTACTTCTATCTCCCTTCCTTGAAGACCTTCTTGCATCCCCGGAGAAATGGGGAAATGCTCCACAGCAACCACTGAAATGTTTTCTAAAATTAACTACTATTATTTCACAGCTCCACAGTGTTCTACCCCATTAGGCTGAATTCCTTAGAGGCAGGGGCCATACACAGTTCAGACTACAGCATTTAGTGGGGTCTAGCCTGTGCTGTGACATTCAAGTACTCAAAAGAGCCCATTGTGGCAGGAAAAGTTAAACTGGAGGGAATAGCCAGTTTATTATAGGCTTTACCTATAATTTTCTGCCCTCAAACAATTCTGTGATTCCAATTAAGCCTTTCCAAAACCCACAAACTGTCCTCGCAAAACTGGAAAAAAGCAAAGAGACCTAGGCTCTCTTAATGGGCTAATGTAACAGACCTCAGAGTATAAAAGATGTGCAGAAAACACCGACACAGAACTTTTACAAAGTTCTTTTCACTCAAAATTTTCACTTAATTAAAATAAAATTAATCCATAATAAGTCAAAAATTGCTGAAATCCATATGGATTAAGAATGCCCCAATCCTTTATTTTTTTACTCCATGGGCCTTCACATGAGATTTGTAGGCAAAGTCACTCACACCAGACCAGAATATGAAGATGAGAAAACTGAATTCTCAAACATGATATGAGAAGTCAAGATGAAGTAGGTCACAAAGAAAGAAAAGAGGCAAGTGTGTGATCTGGGAGGATTCAATCTCAAATGATGCTGCATGTTCCTGCTTAGTTCAACACTCTGCATAATGTTTTAAGCTTAAAGGGTCATCATTTTTCTTGCTTTAGGAATTACTTGGCTCCACTTTGATTTTAAGGTCCTGAAATTAATTCTTTATTTTGTTTTATTTTGTTTTTGAGACAAGGTTTCTCTGTGTATCCCTGGCTGTCCTGAAGCTAGCTCTTGTATACCAGACTGGCCTCAAACTCAGAGATCCACCTGCCTCTGCCTCTGCCTCCAGAGTGCTGGAATTAAAGGTGTGCACCACCACCATCCAGCCTGAAATTAATTCTTAACGTGCTACCACTGTCCTAGAACGCTGCTTTCATAAAGTGTTATCTATTTACTATGGCCCTTGTCATCCTTGTCACCTCTGGGAACAGCAGTTATGCTGCTACCTAGACTGGCTCCATCTGTGCTTTTCTGTTTATCACTGGGCTAGGGTTAGAGCAATCAATGCAAATTAGGCAGCCAGCTGTCGTCCACAAGCGTGCTCTGTCTCAAACTTCCGCTGGTCCTCAGTGCAGTTCCTGCACATCTTGCTGGCTTTGTGGGAAGATCAGGGATGAAATGGAGAGGAGTGGGTCCGGGTTCTTCTCCTCTCTTCCTTTTGTACAGACTCTCCAAGGGAAAGAGGAGCTCCATGGCAGGACCACTGTGTAATGCTGGACAATATGCTCTTGGCCAAAACAGGTTCGGGCGCGCAGGTGGGCCTGCTGTCTCAATTCTGTCACATTGAGACTTGTTAGGAAATACAGGTGGTAAGACTCTCCTAGTTTTTCTAACTTTCTGGGATCATGGGGGAAGAATAAAGGAAAATGACCTTTTCTTCTTTTTCTATGTTTCAAATACCTAAATGTAAAATCTGCTCAAAACAAACAGAACCTTGATCCTGAGCAGGTGGAGAGAAAAAAGCTGAGAAAGCAGCTGTGGTTGAACGCAGGTGAGCGTGCATCCAGGCCGAGCGACAATGCTGGGAGTCATTCCCTAGTGCTGGCCTTTTTTGTTTGCTTCTTCAGACAGCATCTCTCATTGGTTTGGAGCGTGTTAACTAGGTCAGGCTGGCAGGCCAGTGAGGGCCAGGGATTCAGCCATCTCTGCCCACTCAAAACTGCAGTTACAAACATATACCACCATGCCCGGCTTTTAAAGAGTGGGCTTTGAGGCTTGAACTCAGTTTCTCTTGCAAGGATTTTTCTGACTGAGCTATTCTCCAGCCCAACCAAGTTATTTATTTATTTATTTATTTATTGGGAAACGTTAGGCTATATGACTAGTGGCTGGGGATACTTAGGTGACTTCTTGAGGGAGTTCACTGAGTCAGGTCAATATAAACTGTTCTGGAGGCCAAAAAGGACCCAGTACGTTATAATCAAACACTGTTTGAGTATCAAGTAATATGGGTTTTGATAACTGAAAAAAGATGTATGAAAAATTAAGGGTGGCTAAAATAACAAAACCATGAACACATTTTTTAACATCAAAGATAAAATCCACTACTAGTAGGAAAAAGATGAAAGAGAGAGAAACTATAGAAGGAGCGAGAAATCGGTCAGCAAAAGAACTGTAAGCTGTAAGACCAGTTCTTAGTGGCAGATAGGGAGTGCTGGAAAGGAAGACTGAGAACGTGTCTGCATCAGTACTGCTGCATTTAAGATGACCCAGCCTGGCGGAGGCCATCTGTGCTTGCGCTAGGATGAGCTGTCAGCTGTGGCAGACACACAGCCCAGTGTCAGCCTCAGACATCAGGACAACTGCGAGCGATGCAGTTCTTTGTACCAGGGAACCTTTTTACATCGACATGAAAAGAAGAGCGGAATGTCTGCGGTCTCAAGGACAATAAAGAAGACAGACAGGGGCCTAATGCCGTCCTCCTGTCTCTGAAGTCTTCTTTCGTAGGCGTGCTGTATATCTTAACATCTGAAGTGAAGATGAGAAAGTACACAGCCTGCAGTGACAGCACTGCGGCTGCTCTTCCAGGGGCTGTCCCAGGTCTCACTGGGCCGACCCTAAAGCAGACCGTTTCACAGTGTGCGGAGCACCACCCCTGGCATATACCATACCGAGGCTATCATCTTTACTCTGCATTACATTTTCCGGAAAAAGAAGTTGTGGGAGATAAAAGAACGATTCTTGAAGTCTGAAATCTGTGAAAAAAAACAAACAAGATGCTGTAAAGGTGAGGCTGATGGTTAAAAATGGCCTTCAGAGTTGCAATGGCCAAAACGTTAGAGCAACCTTCTACATAAGCTGATGAGCCTGGCACACACGCAAAGAAGCACGCCCTAGGTCTCTGTGAAGAGCTCCTTCATGGAATACAGAAGCACAGCTCAATCTCCAGTGAATGTCAGAATCCGTGATAGCTCCATACTCCTCAAACTTAGAGCTAATTCAGGTTGTCACCCGGAAGGCGACATAACAAACACAGATCCTTCCCTTTACCATGCTATGAACACAGAGACGGAAGAAATGGAACCATAAAACACTTTAAAATGAGCTGGTCTTTTCAGAAGTTAAGGCTCGCTAGTAAGATGTGTCAACTTGATGAGAAAATAAAGATGGTCAACTGACACACTTACTCTTCAAAGAGAAAACGTGGTCACGAATTCAGTCTGTGTCCTCCTCACCCTCAGATAACGAGACTCAAAGACAGTGGCGTCAGAACAGAGGTTATCTTGAAGAGCTGAGGCAATCAATGTGAGGAGGAGGAAGGGAGGAAGGAAGCTCAGTCACCTAATCACAACAGCCAAATTCCAGAAAGATTTAAGAGACAGAAGTTTCAGGATTGCAGGATAGCAATTATGACATACAAGTCAGGACTACACAGGACACACTACTGAGGCAAGTCAAAGATTACTGAGACAAATTCCAAGTGACTTGAGACAGAATCCTATTGCCATAGGTCTGATTTTAATTATTTTAACAGTCCTGTCTCTATTGAGAGATGACTACAGGAAGACTCAAGATGAACTCAGATATAGTACAGACTAAGGTTGGAATTTAACATGAAGACTGGTAAGCATTTATATGGAAGCATGACACAACACGGCATGGGTGTAGCTCAGCAGGAGTGCAGGCTGCATGCACAGCACACACTAGGGCCTACGTCTGAGGGAATGTGTGCGATGAGTCTGTCCAGCTGAGCACCTAAGCGACTGCTGGGTAGGAAGAACTGTCGCTCTGCAACCGTCTGAGACATGTTCGCTAGTATGTACACAAAAAAAACCATTTTCTTTGCTCAGATTCTCTATGTGTTCATTCCTTTTTCTGAGGTCTCCAGTGTCGCTGGGAGAGTCTGGCCCCAGTATGCCCCCTCTTGTTCATCAGCATCACCGGTAGCTTGCGGTAGCAAAACTATGGAGAACTGCAACTTCTTAATACTACCTCACAGAGTTCCTACAGAAACTAGCAGTTTTGATTTCTGAATGTCACTAATGCTTCCATATTTACAGTCATGTTTCCAGGTCAAAATGAATGAACTCAGTGTAAGAAATCAGGAAAATGAGTTTTATACAGATATTAAAAGTCTAAAAGAATAGTCTATACATGGTTCCAATGACTCACAAACATAAATCTAGCACTCGAAAGGAATGAAAAATGCCACTGGCCCAATTAGGAATGCTCAGCCCTAAAGCTAATCCACCCTGGGGAGGTTGAGTGTGGAGGAACCATGCAGTCTCTAGGATGCCACCTTGACTTGTTCTGGTTGCTGTTCACTTCAAAATTCAGGGAGGCAGACACAGCAAGAACACAATGCTACCAGTAACTGCAATGGAGTCTGTACCGATGACCAAAGCAGTCATTTTCTCTTGCTAGCTGCAGAAAGGGAGCAGCTACTTTAGAGCTTGTCTGTCCTTATCACCAATGGGAATACCCAAAGTGCTAGTGCTACTGCTGGACACTTAAAAATAACGTTTACTGATGGATTAGTGTTTCACAGCTATGGAAGATTAAAAAATAAAGTTCATCTTACTGTTACATGTATCTACTCATAGAAATCCCTCTGTGCACTAGGTAACCGGAGCAGGAGCAGAAGACATAGAAACATGCCTCCGCTTTGGAGGGCTCATAAAGTTGGATGTGTGTGTGTTTAGCTGCAGGACAGCAGTGTTTCAGAATTCTCAAGGCCAGATACAGGACATGTCTACAGTGATAATGGGAAATTTAAACCTTGGGGATTGTAGTAAAAAGACACATTGTAAAAGCTAGGGGCACTTTCCCCACAGACTGTCTTGTGCTGGAGAGCCCTGGTTAAAATGATCTAGTAACTTGTCACTGCAGACACTAAAACTACACTTTCCTAAAAAGTATTCTTTCCAGACCTGAATGCAGACCTCCAGAATTCCTGCCCTCCCGCCCCTCCTAAGCTACAGAGGAAAGTACACAAGCTGTAGGAGAACTGTAGGAACTAACATGCAGAGTCGAGGAAGCCCGAGCTGCTGTGTGGCAGGGTCTGTGTCGCCACGGTGGTGGTAGCAGGCGAAGCGACAGGCTTCTTCTCATCTTCCACTGTGTCTTTAGATGTCTCAGATGGCTGTGATGTTGAAGAACGTCCGAATCTTGAGAACAACATTCCTCCAAGCCCCTTTCCAATGCTAGCAGCCCCTGTATGTCACAGAATAGGGCAGTCACTCTGCTGATTCATCTCACAGTGCACTGAAGAGCACCACCCATAATTATAGCCGATTGGCGTTTTTCTCCAGGGTGGTGACCTAAAAAAATATTCCAATTTCTACTGTAGGTTTTTAAATAAGAATGAAGGTTAAAAGAAGAAAAGCTGTATAAACTCTAGGAATACAGATACACAAACATACAACCAAGATGATATTTTATCCAGATGTTCATTGTTAAGGAAGTATTTGGCAAAATTAAAGCCTCTAACAAAAGACCCATGTTGTTGACATGGGGCATATACCTACTATTAAGAGGTATATGTCTTACTAAATTTATGCTATAAAAAGCCATTAATAACCTTTGAGCATGAAGTCAAATAGTAAGCAAGTTTGGTGGGTAAGGCCTACTTATACTGCCATCTTGTGGCATTCACACAAAGGACACTGAGCCAGAAACAAAGAAAAAATTCAAGGGGTATGCTATTGGAATGCCCAATTTCTGTGCTGGCACAAGTAGTTACTCAAAGGGAGATGAAATACCCCTGTTGGTCTAGGAAGCAAAAACACTAATTGACTGGACTTTCAGAAGACATAAGCATCCTGATGGGGAGATTCTACCAGAAGGCAGAAGAGGAAGTGAAGCAATAAAAACATTTCTCAGGATCCCTCAGTAAGTCACAGGGCCAAGACTACAAGGAGCGACAGAATGCTGTTTCCTGTTCTTTAATGTAACTGGAGGACATCACAGCTTCTGCTTCAGTCAGCAGGGAAGCCTGGACAGTTGGAAATTTTCTAACAGCAGATTTCCAACCACCCCCAACTTAAGTGCTTACACTCATAGATAAGAAGCAAGAGAAATTACCCAATATGCTTGCTTTGCCAATGTTAGTTATAGATTCTCCATAGTGGCGCCGTGACAGCACCGGGGAGGTCACAGGGCTCGGGATATTTGCAATGTTTTCACTCTCTGAGACTGAGGTAGGTTCTTTTGCTGGGTTGAGAAAGTTTGGCTTCATATGTTCATAAGGTAAAGGATTTGAAGTGTTGTACCAGTGGATCTGGACCGGTGAAATGTTGCTGTAGTGCTTCAGAATTAATGGCTCTAATCTGTAGGCCTAGATATTTAAAAATGCAAAGAAATACAACATTAATGCAAAATGTCTGGATTTTAGTAAAGTATTTACTCCTAAAGTTCTGTTGAGTAAGTAAATCTTAGAGCAAGAATTTAAAAAGTGGCTTTAAAATATACTTCCATATTTCTCACTGCTAATATATGTGGTTGTCTAATTACATATTCCTACTGATGAGATTACAGAAAAACTGGAGTTAGTTTTGATTAGTGGTATCTATTAAATCATTTTCAGTGAAAAGGACTAAGTTTTACCACATTCTGATATAATCTTACAAGATTTATGTCAGACTCACAAAGCTGAAGTGGTGGATGATAGCCCAAAATATAGTAAAATAAGATTAGTCTTTAATATTTAGATCTTTTGTTATATTTGATTTCAAACATGTGACTCCAATAAGAAAGAGCCTAACTTGAAAGCCAACCAAAGGCTTCCTTCTATAGCAACGAGTCAATCACCAGTTGGAGGTGTAGCACAGACTCCCACCTCCATCACTAACTGTCATTAACGGTTTGCCATCTGTTAGGTTACACAATCTCAGAGCCATCTCATGGGAGGAAAAGAGAATGCCTGCAAAACCTGCCTAGCAAAGGTCCACACGAAGCATTAAAGAAAGTATTAGGAAAAACAATGCAGCTTGTAGCAAGATGCATGCTTAGGACACTTGAAGCTCTAGGTTCAAATCCCAGAATCAAACACATAAAAGCCTAATTTGAGATGTACAAAGAAAACAGAATTCTTGTGTGCAGAAAAACACCTGAACATACAGACACGCTGGTCTCAGTGACTGCCACGACTGCACTCTGTATCCAAGCCTCTAACAGACTTAGGCTGCCATCCCAGCAGAAGCTTATTTTCAGCTCTTCCGTTTCAGTTGGGAGTTTTCTCTTAGACAAGGCAGTTAGAAGTTTAAACACATGGGTCTTTCTAAAATTCAATAGTCCATCAGTCGATGTTTATTTGGCAATAGCTAATCAGTTTTCAAAAGAGTTCACACAATTATCATAAAAGCTATTTCAGACAATTGTTTAAAATAGTGTTACTGTGTGTTACTGTTTTCCATAACGAGATGTAAGGAAATTTCTGCACTGTGTAGTGGGGAATAGAACCAGGTTCCTCCCGCAAACTAAGCGAGCACTTTAATACAGAGCCACTCCAGTCTGAAAATACGTGTCTATTTGCAACAGCATGGAAGATCTCAGAGTGTTTACCTTTAAAAACATTTAAAAGAACAAATATAGTAAAAAATTGAAAAAAAAAACGAGCATTTTATACTTTGACTCAACTAATGCATGATATTACCTTTCATGCTTTGAAGAGGATCCATGGACTCAGCTCAATTTTAGACGATGCTTCAGAAAAACAGCACTTAAAGCAGGAAAGTATTTTTAATACTTACTTACTTATGAGTTATATGTATGTGTACCATAAGGAAGTGTGCAGTGCCCATGAAAGCCAGAAGGGGGCTCTGCTGAAGCTGGATTTACAGAAGGTAGTGAGTCACCTGAAGTGGGTGCTGGGAATCAAACCTAGGTCCCAGGCAAGAGCACCAAGTGCTCCTGACAACTGAGCCATCTTTCCAGTCCCTGATAGGGGTTGTAAGAGGAGATCCTCTCTAAAACTTTATTTCATGAACTCTGAATGAACCAACACAGTAATAAAATCACAACCTTTTCGAGTCAGAAATGAATCTCCTGTTAGCTCACGGCCCCTGACAAGGTTGCTCATAGAGAACAGTTAGAGATCTAGGAAGCTCACAGTGAAACTCACCACTGGGTCTGTAGGATGAAAAATATTTAGTAAGCGGTTACAAATCTCTCGAGGTAAAATGTGATCTTGACTTCCAGTATTTCCTGGTCTGATGCCACGCAATGCCAAAAAAACTGCTAGTGGGGATCCCATACAGAAGAAATTCTCAACCTAAAATGAAAAGAGCCATCCTGAATTTAAACAACGGTGAAGTGTTATTTTCAACAGAATAATAAAATACAAACAATAAAATTACCTCTAAGTATGTATGTTTTAAGTATATATGCTTTGTTTATATCACTTGTTAATTACATACCAGCCATTAATGATTTTATAATAATTTACTTCCAATGGGGTTTTCATTATTTTAAAATATAGCAGAAGTTAAAGCTCAGACAAGGAGGGAGGTGAGGGGAAGCATGTCGTTGCACTTCTAGTTCCTGGTCAGGGTGACAAGAGACTACACCTTTACGCCAGGTGCTGTGATGGTCGGGACCAGCAGTGGGGTAGAGCCACTGTTCCCAAGCTGATGGGAGTGTGGGGGGAATGCCATGGAAGAATGGAGCCGCCAACTCTGAGGCCTTTACAGAGGTTAGGGCATGCAGTGGCCAGTACAAGAGAGTAAGGATTTCTACAGTTGAGACTGGGGTATCAAGGCTGGAAGACTGACCCACAAGACTGTTACGCATTTGGACTAAGAGGAGAGAAAAAGGTACTGGATGATTTTTGAGAAAAGACTGAAACAAAAGTGTGCATGTCTGTGCATGTGTGTGAATCTACTTGGGATGATAACACTCAGATCTCTGACTATCCAAGGAAGACAGCCTTCATTTATATTTTAGGCTGTGAGGAACAGTACTTAGCCCATACTCTGGGAAGTGTAACCTGGTAGCAATGTGTGCAGATGCACCAGGAAACTGAGAAACAACTGATTTGGGAAAAGAAAATCTCTTGAAAGGAATGAGGCAAGAGATAATCTCAAGCAGGGCAGGCCCAGCTGTCATTCATAACGGGAACATTCGAGGACTGAGTGAGGATGCTTGGCATGGAGATGGTAAAGAATGGGTCAGAGACATAACAACGCAGTTCCATTGTCAGAGTAAATGGTCCCCAGATCTTATTTTTGCTCACAGGTAAGTCTGAGATGTCTGTAACGTGTGGCTGAAAAGTTAGAGCAGGGGTACAGAAATGTATCTCCACCATCACATCAGCATGGACATCACTGTAGTCACGGCACGTGAGGCCAAGACAGTCACCCTTGCTTGCCAAGGATGTGCTCAGAACACGGAGAGCCAGACACAGACCTACATTTAGTCAGCAGAAGGAAGGGGAATTCTACAAGGGAGAGAGAAAGAACCAGAACCCAGGGCAGTAGGTAAGTCAAGATTCTGGTCCTCATACCCTCATCTGCCACCCCGACCATACTGCGACAGGGTTTCAGCCTCCAATTCTAATGTTCTTAGCATTCAAGTAAAGAAGCTGAGTGCGGCTATGCATCCTGTCACCCCAAGATTGTGGGGCAGATAAAAGGATTCTGAAACCCTGCAAGCCAGCCACCTCGTCAGAATGGAAAGTTTCTTGTTCAGCGAGAGATTCTATCCTAAGGCAAAAAGGCAGAGTGATAGAGGAAAACTTTGTACCCTGACCACTCTGTATACAGGGCAGGCACCCGTGTTACATATTCAAGCATACCACACACAAACACACACACACTAACCCTGCAGATTCAAGTGCATGAACCAGCCACATACATACTGGCATGCACGCACACTCACACCAGGTACCCAATATAAAAATAATATAAAATTTAATATAAAATATAAAATATAGATGACAAGAGGAAGCTATGACATTCTGTGCAAGATGTCCAGTCACTTCACAACCATCTGGTAAGTCATCTCTTCCATATCATTTTGTTTATGATGGCTGCAGTATGACAAACACAAAGGTACTGTTCTCTCAGTCTGTTATGACTATCAAATAATAAGAAACACTAAAATATCATGTGTGGACATGTATGATGTGTATGAGGGGGCACGTGTGTACCATGGCAAACATGTGAAGGTCAGAGACAATTCTGTAAAGCTGATTCTTTCCTTCTACCTTTATGAGGGTTGCAGGGATTGAACTCAGGTCACCAGGCTTGCAGAGCCCCTTTCCCTGCGGAGTCATCTCACCAACCCCCATCAAAGAATTCTGAAGACAAAAAGGAACTTTCTTGTTCAGAGATGAGTAACCAGCTGAGTTCAGAACTATCACATGCCTTGGCTAATAGTACTAACTAGATACAAAAATCACAACCAGAGCAAAGCTTCACTGTCCACGCTGCACACAACGCTTGTCACTGCTCCTCTTCTCCTGGTTTTGAAGGTCAATGGTCAAGTGCAACAGGATGGACATCAGCATCCTCAAGGTCAATCTTTCTGCTGGTTATCCATGCAGAAAAATGCCTGTCTCTTCCTGACCCCTTAAGTCCCAAGTAAAACTCACCAGGTTCGATACTCTTCTTAAATTCTCAATTTCTATGTTTCCCTCTAAATAACAATGAGGAGTCTTTATTAAGCTATGCATGACTTGCATCAGAAGAAACCCAACTATATGCACAGGTTCTACTCATGTGGTACTGAATCTAAGATCATAATATACTTAATGTGTTCTACCCAATTCTTTAGTAAAAAATAGTTTTATCTACCAGATACATTTATACATTTAGCATTAATTATGTTTGGCAGTGCTGGTATTTAAATTCTAGATTAAGATAACTCCAGAGACCATATTCTTTCAATGGATGTTTCAACGTTACCATTTCACCACACCCTTGCCCATACAGGGCTAGGAATTGAACCTAGTGCCTTGTACACGCTGGTCAAGCACTCTGCCACTGAGTTATGAGCCCAGCTCAACAACTTGGTTTTGAAACGGTATATGTTAACAGAGAAACAGTGTGGGGGTCCCAGTTACAGGGATCTGGTATCCTCTTATGGCATCTTCAGGCACCAGGAACACACATGGTTTATACATATTCATATAGGCATTCACCCACATTCACAAAAATACTAGCTAAAGAAGTCACCCCACACTTGAGGACGCACGCCAAGCTCCTGTGTGAGACGACATGGACCGCGCATGCAGAGGCCCACGCACCTTCTCTTTACTACTGCAGGAGAGAATGTTTCCCAGAGCACGGACAGCATTGACGTTGTCTCTTGGGTTCACTAGGGCACCTTTTTAACTCATCTAAAACCTAGCTTTACTCTGCCCTCTCAAGCAGATGGCAGTTCCTCTTCTCACAGCCCTTTGCCACGTCCTGACAACGCCAGTCAAACTGACCCTGGCAGTCTTGTCTTGGGCTTTGTTCTAAACTTCATAAACTGAAGCACACAGCTTCCTACCCTGAACTCCTGCCTTCTCACTTCCTTTTATTTCCTTCTTGCTGCAGATCATACATTTTGTTCCTTCTAAATAGTAAACGCCACACATCTGTCTCAACTTTTCCTCTCCTTGCTTTTATTTTCTCTTTGGACTTGGCCAAATGTAAACCGAGCTAAAGAACAAGAGTTCATCCTTTTAAAGCCTTGCAGACAGAAGGAAAGCCACTTCTCCAGTGCACTGCTGCTCTGCACACTGCTAAGGGCTGTGTGCGGCCAGACCCCAGGAGGAGAACCACCTCGCCCATGCTGTTCTTTGGAGCAAGTGTCCAAGCACACAGTATAGAACCAATCACGACGAAGCCTTCATTTGACTACATTTTCATGATACCATATTCAAATGTTCAGAAAGTATGAAGACGATGAGAATCTGATCTCTTGTCTTACCTTAAATTTTAAGGCAGGTGTCTGTGTTATGGACGACGTCTTCAATCCATGCAGCCGTTCTTCTATTTCCCTTAGCCTAGGAGCAGCATGAGATCACACACACACATTGAGTTTCACTACAGATCATCATGTATTAGAGGCTTACTACTTTAGGAAGCAATGATGGCTCTCACACTGACCCCATCTATGACAATGTTTAATCAATGTTCCTGCTGTACTGCTCAAGGTCTGCAAAGGCACTTCTTACGACACGTGTGTGTGTGTGTGTGTGGGTGAGTGTGTGTGTGTGTGTATATATATATATATATATACACATATAAAATTACCGACCTACCTCTCCTTGCTTCTTTCTCTCTCTCTACCTACCTGCCTGCCTGTGTTGCTTTAAAAATTATACTTTATACTCTCTTCTTCAATCTTTTTAAAAAAATGTCTCTTCCTTACCAATATTTAGTAATGAATTTTGTAGGTGTTTTCACTGTATTGCCCCACCCACTTTTATTTGCTGAGCACACGAAGGACACCTGCGTCCCCTGCTTTACTACACTCCAGCTCTGCTCACATCTAATGCATTCGCTTACATTTCTTTCTCAGACAGACTTACTCATTTACATATGTAAGCATTTTCTTAGTTATTCTGGACAGTCTCATGTTGCTTGGGCTAACTTTGAAATCTTGATCCTCCTAGCTCTACTTCCTAACTGCTAGGATTACAAGCTTGTGCTACCATGATTACATTTTTTAAAAAAGGATTTAAGTGTTCTGTGACTTTATTTTGAATCATGAGTGTGTACATGTTGATAAATGTGAATGGCGTGCCTACACAAGCCAGAAGAGGGCGCTGGGTGTCCTGGAGCTGGGGCAGCAGGTGACTTTGTGGTCTGACAACGGGGCTGAGGATCAAATTCTGGTCCACTCAAAGTTTTCGCTGCTCTGAGGATTGTCAAACTTATTTTCTTTTATGTTTATTGAGACAGGGTTTCTCTCTGTAACCCTGGATGTCCTGGAGCTAGCTCTAAAGGCCAGTCTGGCTTCAAACTCAGAAATCTACCTGCCTCTGCTTCTTGAGGCTGGAACTGAAGGTGTGTGCCACCACACCTGCTAAATGTCATTTTCTTCCGAGACTAATAATCATTTTGTTATCATAATATTTATGTCTACGGCACCAAATAAGTCAAATCCTGAGACAACTACTCTAAAAGTAAAACAAAGCCAATGATTTCTGAGTAAACATTTTGTCAGTTAGCCCAGTTTGTATAAAATGCTAAACTATGAGAATCAGTGTTTTCCGCTGTAAACTTGTATCAGTTAGAGGAGGAAGATGGTGAATCAAGTGTCACCTAAGATGATAATGTAGCACAGAGTTAAAGGATGCTAAGAGGGTCGTTAAATCTGCTTATAATTATATATTATATAACTGTTAAGAGATAACATGTAAAATAATTGGCCAAGAGTAACAAAGTTTTAAAACTATTTTCAGAAAAAAGGTACAGACCAGCGAAACAAATGATTACACACTGCAGACAGGGGAAACAAACTGTGAGCAAAGATGGAGGAAGATGAAATTATTCTGTGGAAAAATGCATGTAATAAAAGTATAAAAATTAATAACCTACAGGTCGGTTAGGGATGTTATCTAATAATCTATACCTTGAACAGAGCATAA